ATTTCTTAAATTCTGTGATGAGGAAGGAATAAGGAGAGAGTTGACAGCACCTTATACTCTTGAGCAGAATGGAGTGGCAGAGAGAAAGAACAGGACAGTGGTTGAAATGGCAAGAAGCATGCTCAAAGCTAGAGGTGTTCCAACTGAGTTCTGGTGTGAAGCTGTAGCCACAGCTGTATACATCCTGAATGTCTCACCTACCAAAGCAGTAATGAACATGACTCCATTTGAGGCCTGGCGTGGTAAGAAACCTTCTGTAAGTCACTTGAGAATCTTTGGATGTATAGCCTATGCTTTGGTAGATTTGAGGTCCAAACTAGATGATAAATCTGTCAAATGTGTTCTAGTTGGCTATGCACCTCAATCTAAAGCCTACAGACTGTATAATCCTATTACTAACAAAATAATTGTTAGTAGAAATGTGGTGTTTGATGAGAGTTCAGGCTGGGATTGGAAAGGAAAAGCTGTAAGCAGTGTTGGTCAGGAAAACTCAGTAGAGTTTGATGGTTCTGAGGAAGAGATAGTTGATGTTCACTCCCCTAGTCCTCCTTCAACACCATCATCATCAAGTCAGAGTTCATCACCACAATCAACCCCACCATCAAGCTCATCAGAAGACTCAGTCCCAAGAAGGTATAGGTCTTTAGCTGACCTATATGAAAACTGTGACTTTGCCTTGATGACAACTGATCCAACACACTTTGAAGAAGCCAAATCAAGGGAAGAATGGCATGCTGCCATGAATGAAGAGATCAAATCAATTGAAAAGAACTCAACATGGGAGTTAGTTGATCCTCCTGAAGGGAAGAATATCATTGGCTTAAAATGGGTGTTCAGAACTAAGTTCAACACTGATGGGAGTATCCAAAAACACAAGGCCAGGTTAGTGGCAAAAGGTTATGCACAGAAGGAGGGCATAGACTTTGAGGAAACTTTCTCACCTGTTGCAAGGATGGAAACTGTTAGAATTGTCTTAGCTCTTGCAGCCCAATGGAAGTTAAAGGTATTTCAACTTGATGTAAAATCAGCTTTTCTGAATGGGAACTTGCAGGAAGAGGTCTTTGTTGAACAACCTCTTGGATTCATAAAGGAGGGCAAGGAAGACAAGGTGTACAGGCTAAACAAGGCTCTATATGGGCTGAAGCAGGCACCTCGTGCATGGTACAGTAAGATTGATTCATTCTTTCTTCAAAATAACTTTGAAAGGAGTGAGAATGAACCAACTCTTTATGTAAAAAGAAAGAAGGGTGAGCATGAGTTTATCATTGTCTGTCTTTATGTAGATGATATTATCTACTTCATCTCTTCTCACCAGATGCTTAATGAGTTCAAAGTTGCTATGATGAATCAGTTTGAGATGACAGATCTTGGGATGTTACAATACTTCCTTGGTTTGGAAGTAAAGCAAGGTGATGATGGAATTTTCTTATGTCAAAAGAAATATGCAGAAGATTTGCTTAAGAAATTCCATGTGAAGAAGTCTGAAGCAATGAAAACTCCCATGAATACAAATGAGAAGCTTCAGAGAGAAGATGGAACTGAGAAAGCTGATGAGAAGTGCTTCAAGAGTTTGGTTGGGGGTCTGAACTATCTCACACACACTAGGCCTGACCTAGCCTATAGTGTGAGTGTAGTTTCAAGATATATGCATTCTCCAACTAAGCAGCATATGGGTGCAACAAGAAGGATACTCAAGTATGTTGCAGGATCAATTGAGGCTGGGTTACTCTATGAGAGTGTGAAATCCTTCAAGCTGACAGGTCATACTGACAGTGATTGGGCAGGATGCTTAGATGATAGGAAAAGCACATCAGGTTCTGTGTTCAGTCTTGGGTCCGGGGCAGTAACTTGGAGTTCCAAGAAGCAAGAAACTGTAGCTCTTTCATCATCTGAAGCTGAATATGTAGCTGCAGGTGCTGCAGCAAGGCAGTCTATGTGGTTGAGAAAGCTGCTTAAGGATTTGGGCTGTGAACAGGTAAGTGCAACTGAAGTGTGGTGTGATAACAAGTCTGCAATAGCAATGGCTAAGAATCCTGCATTTCATGCAAGAACAAAGCATATAGAGGTTCAACACCACTTCATTAGGCAGTTGGTAGCTGAGGAGAAAATCAGTTTGAAATTTTGTGGAACCAATCTTCAAAGTGCTGACCTATTCACTAAAGCCTTGAATCAAGCAAAACATCAATATTTCATGGAGAAGATAGGTATGTACAAGCTTGGATCAAGGGGAGGTGTTGAATATGATCAAGCTTGAAATTACATAAAAGTCCATGCATTAATATTTGAATAAGTCTTTAGTTAGTTACCTCATTTTTAGGACGTAAAGCATGCATGTTGTTATGGCTATTATTTCATTTATTCTCAGCCAAGTATTTCCTTTCTTTTAGCAACATTTACTGCCACATTGTTAGTGGAGATCATGTTAGTTCAAAGCTTATGTAATGGCTATTTATAGCCCTCGTTTATTCTCAGATTAATAGAGTGTGAACATTGCATCCATTCCTATTTTTCTCCTTAGTTAAGTTAACATCCTCACCTGGGCTATGTCCGCACAGACGGTACGTTGATGTTTTTCCATCTTCCATGGAGTCGGCTTTTTCCATCTCCCTTATCTCCGCTCGATATTATCATTAGTATTTTTAGTCGTTTTATCGATATCTGATTCGAATAGTTCGTGGATGAAGGTTATTAATCATTCGAAAGCTATAAAACTCCCCCCCAGCTGGTCAATATAATGGCTAAAAAATGGATGATCTCACCCCTGAGATAGATTTGATTTGGTTGTTTTGTTTTTGGAGTAATAGAAATTCCATTCATCAACCACCAGATTGAGCCGCTTCCTTTCATCCTTATTACTATTACTTGTTTTAACTTCTAATACGATTTTATGTAATTTCAATGAAGTAAAATTTTCTAGAAAGTCCCTGAAGATGGAGAGTAATCTCTTGTTTCAATCGCTGCATTCTCAGCTTTTGCATTGGCTCAGTTGCCGATTTCATTCATGAGCCTATTTTGAACTGCCACTTAAAATTAACTTCATTTCTTAAAACCTCTTCAAATAAAGGCTTGTTTCGTAGAGTGGGATGCAATCTCGTACACATACTATGAAAATCTTAAGAATGATAGTTTAGCCTAATCAGTAAGTTACAACTTATTTATTTTACTTATTTTGATTACTCTGTTTAGTTTAGTAAAAAGTAAACAAACTGATCAGAATCTTATTAGCAGATTAACAGATAAATCATTGTATCAGTATATTCTCCCACCTTTTGATTTTGGCAGTATGAATTAGAGTGTATTCTCCCACCTTTGACTCCAGTCAATGAGTCATATAAATTGCAGGTCAATACTAATTGCTATGTTCAGTACTAGTGTATGATATATTCTATACTAGTTTATGTTGAACTATTAAAATCTTACATCTATAATGATCATTAAACTTATTTTTTTATGCTCAATGAAAATAATCTTGTAGGTTGTGAATTGTTGAAGACCCTTTCTTTGAGACCATTGAAAATAAAAAACAGCGATCTACTTGAATAAGTAAGTAGTAACTGCTGGAATATTATTGAGGTTATCAATTGGACCAGTTTTCTGTACTTAATATTATGTTGCATTTTTGTATTATTTATATTGATTTATTTTTTGATGATTTTCATTTATTTTCATTTCAAGAATGAGTATAGATCGAAATTGGATGAGTCATAAGGGGGTAAAGGACAGGAGAAAACCGGAGTATGTAACCGGTGTTAATGTGTTTCTAGAGTTCGCTTTTAAAGATAAGAATGATGGAACGATGTTGAAATGCCCATGTTTGAACTGTGGGCTAGTCCTGTCCCAAGATAAAAAAAACTATGCAATGTGACTTACTAGTGTATGGCATAGATAGTAGTTATAATCCATGGGTGAGTCACGGAGAATGTGAGGAGAAAAATGTTAGCGATGAAGAGGGATATATAGATGAGGTTTCAAATGATGAGGAGCTACACTACAAGGTTTTATTGTTTAATTAATACCCAAACTAATAATTCTGAAAACTTATCAAATATTAGCATTTTAAATGTGTAACTATTATTATTGTAACACTGTAATTATCATCAATAACATACAAACAGTATTAAAATTAAAATTATCTAAAGTTAGTTAAAACGCCCTGAGTTCGTTATTGTAACACTGTAAGAATATGTCTTGGAGTGCCCAGATCTACATGTTAAATGCTTAGTGGAGTAAAAGAATATGATCAATTGTCTGTGCATGCTATGAGACAAGCTAGATGTTCACATAATGCCTCATATACAATTAGGCATGGACCCGGTTCGGGCCGCCCGGCCCGGGACCGGCCCGGCCCGCCAATGTGCAAGCCCGGAACCGGCCCGGTTCTCGGGTCCGGGTCCGGGTCGGGCCTAGGCCCGGTGGGGTGGCCGGGTCCGGGCTCGGGCCTTGAATTTGGCGAACCGGCCCGGCCGGGTCGGGCCCGGGCCCGGGCCGAATTGATTTTTTTTTAATTTTTTTTCTTTTTTTTGGGTTAGCCAAGTTGGGCTTGATGGTTAGGAGGGGTTTGGGGGTTTGGGGGGGTGTGGGGGTGAGTGGGGGGGTTAGGAAAGCAAAAAAAAAAAAAAAAAAAAAAATTATAACCGAACCGGAGGCCCGGCCCGGCCCGGCCCGGACCCGGACCGGACCCGGTGGCTACCCGGGCCGGTCCCGGGCCTTCCTTCCCAAAAAAAAAAGCCCGGCCGGGCCCGGCCCGGAACCGGAACCGGCCCGGCCCGGGTCCATGACTATATACAATTATGAGGCAAGGTAGATGTTTAGTTTTATGTTCTGTCAGACTATTTTATGTTATTGATAGTGCTTTGTTTAACAGGCATAAACCAAATGGAGAAAGTAATGGTTGGGAGCCAAATGCTGAAAAAAATTATCAAGAACTTGAAAACCTCCACCAAACTCAAATGGAGAAGCATGGTGAGGATACACTAACTGTGAAAGCTGCATATATAGAGGTTTTGAAGCCCAAATCTGGTTACGTGAAAGGACTTGGCCCGGGAGCTCGAACAACAACCAGGGGAAGAAGTGAAGCACAGAATAATGAACTAAATGTAAAGTTCTCTGCTGAAATTCAAATGTTGAAGAACGATGCCGCAGTGCGTGAGGCATCTCTTGTTGGTCAAATTGACACACTCAAGAAATCTAACGAAGAGTTAAGAGCATCAAATGATCAACTTAAAGCATCAAATGAAGAACTGAAAACATCTATTTCTCAAATGAGCATAGACGCCGTGGAACGTGAAAAGAAACTGAGAGAAGATGTTAAGAAAATGCTCGAGGAGATGAGGTAAATACTTACTGCCCTAAAAAAACTTACTGCCTTTATAATTTAAGAATTTAATATTGATGCATGTTATCATAGATTAAGTATGCAACTTCCAGTAATAGAATAATGACTTTATACCATATAGATTCGTGCAAAATTTTGGGATTCTTTTTTATCATTCTTGTTAGACTGTATCTTTACATATATGCGGATATAATTAAATTTGGTGAGCAAAAGATTATAATGAATAAGACTGTAAGAAGCTTAAATAGAACTCAATTTTTTTTACTCAGTTTGTGAAGTTGTGTTTTTCTGATAAACTGATTCCCATAAAAGCAATGTCTTTTTGTTTAGAAAGCATGATGTTTAAAATTTGTTTTTATAATATGCTAGTAATATTTAGTAAGTGACAATTTTTTTGCTATATTCTTTGCTAAGAAGAAAAAAACAAAGGCTGTTAGAATACGATGACATATGTATCTGTCATTATGAATAACAAAACGTAATCCTCATTTCAAAGTTAAGTTGTAAGTTGTAACGAAAAATTTCCCCTTAAGACCACCTTCAATTTGAAGAAAGTGTCTTGGTATTGTGAGAAGGCATTTTCTATGAGTGATTTAGATGTATCCTGGTTTATTTTTGGCGCAGAACTTGTTAGCAGTAGTGAAAGTTGTGATCTTAAATCACTTATTCATTGCTAAGCATTTATGCAAGTGATGAATTGACATTTATGAGTTCACCTGAGATGATTTATCATATTAGTGACCCTGGTGAATTGTCAAAATAATATGTTCTTATGAAATTTTATTTTTAAATTGTTTTGCAGGATGGGGTTTTGATAGAAATGTTAAACGAGTGGATACTTCAAGGAATGCTTCTTAGATTAACGAGTTAATCTTGTTCATTATGTCGTTTATCATATGTATATTTTTATATTCTAAAAAACAGTGTAAATAAATTGACACAAAGTGAGTTGAAACTCACAAACTTCATATTGTTACAGTTTTTATCAATGTCAAATGATTGGATATGGAGAAAACAATTACTTTTATTGTACAAGTGCGCCTCATAATATTTTATATTTATTTCCGTCATTTAAATTTGCTATAAATATGATGGTAGCTATAAACATATGTTGCACAAAAGAATGTGTGACTAAATATTTCAATGCATAAATTCCATATAGGCTACACTTGCTAAACTTTGTTGCACAAAATACTTCTATGGGCATTGGAGGTTTGTGATGCACAAGTATTACTTTGGGCAACAAAAATTTTGTGTTGCACAAGTATTACTTTGGGCAACAAAAATTTTGTGTTGCACAAGTATTACTTTGGGCAACAAAAATTTTGTGTTGCACAAGTATTACTTTGGGCAACAAATATATAGTTCATCACATAAAATATAATGGGCCACGATACTTAGGCAACGATCTCGTGACGATATTAAGTTAGTTGCACAAGAGAATGGGCAACAAAATTGTAGCTTTTAGTGACGAAAATTTTTGTTGCACAAAACTAATTTTCTTGTAGTGTATTGTTGATTATGATGTTATCCCGGCTTGTATCTCTAGCCATCTGGCGAACGATTTATTGAATTAATATATTGTTGTTTTTATGATAAAAAAAAATAGTTTTAATAGTAAAGCTAATTTATAAATTGTTGACATGTCTTGCTCTTAGAGCATCTCCAATGCTATAATGTCCACGGTGCACATGTGGCATGAGTGATAGCCACATAAATATTAGCAAATAAATTATTTTTCTCCTTATTTGAATGATTTTATACAATTTTGGTAAGTTTTTCCCTGCAATGTCAACAACAATGTCAGCATCTAGACGGTCTCCTTGACAGTGTGGAGAAAAACTTACCAAAACTATATAAAATCATTCAAATAAGGAGAGAAAAAATTTATTTATTAATATTTATGTGGCTATTTCTCATGCCACGTGTGTACCGTGCACATTTTACCATTGAAGATGCTCTTATTGGTTAACATAATTTCATTAAAACATTTAATTAAAACAAAAAAAACCGCAGCCTAAAAACCGCAAGAGAGAAAAGCGGACCAGCTCATAAATCAATTAAACGGTAGTCCTTCTACGTATTCCTAATAGGACTCTTAATGTGATAAACCATACAAATTTTACTAGATAAAGTTGCTTATGGGATAAGAATTTTTACCACTTCATCAAATACAGGTTCTTTAAATAATACTCCATCCGTCCCGTTAAGATTGTCCCATTTTACCTTTTCAGGAAGTCCCACTAAGATTGTCCCATACCATATTTGGTAAAGATTGTGTGGTTCTAAATCATTCTAACTTTATTCTTACTTTATCAATTTAATATCAACCACACAAACCTACTTTTCTTAATAATCGTGCCACCTGCTCTCGTCCCAATCTTAGTGGGACGGAGGTAGTAGGTTGCATACACCTAATAGGACTCTTTAGCTAAATACACGAACATAAACTCCATCACTACCTCCTTCCATCCTTTGTCATATAAAACCCTATAAATAAGGGAGATTTACCTAAATAGGAGTAAATAAATCTTTAATTGCAAAAACAGGACTAAAATTTAAAAATTCCCTAAATAGGAGTTATTAGTTAGAGTTAGACAAAAACACCCCTGAAGCCTCAAAAACCCTACTGCAGACGCAAGAATGCCTGACCTCTAGCCGCCGGCCAACACCCGCCGCCCGCCGCCCAACAGCCACCGCCCAACAGCCGCCGCCAGTTTCCGACCAGACCACTGCTAGTCGCTGGATGTCGTTTCGCAGATCTGACCTTGCCGTAGTAGATCTGGCTAAATCTGGCCATCGCCGGCCGCCGCCGGGTGTTGCTTTTACGGATTCCGCCACCACCGCTACAGATCTAGCCACCCCCACTGCTACTGCCAAATTTAATATCTGAATGCCAATATGAATTACATTTTTGAAGATTAAAATGTCACTTTTATGACATTTCAAAAACAAATGCATATGGGCCGTTGGAGATGAGCATCTCAATATTCAGGGTCTCAAATGACGGAGAAAGAGATAAACAGGAAAGAATAGAGGAATTAACGAAGGAAGAGACATTGAAGAACGTTTTTTTAAAAGGTCAAATTTTGTTTCGAAAATGCCATCAAGTAGGCAATATTACTCTTCAAAAAAGTCATGTTTTGCTTTGAAAATGCCATTAAAATGGCATTCTCGATTTATGTTTTGCATTTTGATAAAAAAAAATTGGCATTAGCTTAGACAATAGACGGATCTGCACCGGTGGAGGCCGGTTTTGTAGCGGCTGTGGCCGGATCTGCAGGGGCGGCGACCAGATCTGCTGAAGCGGCGGTCAACAGCGGCGTGTGGCGGCGATGGACATATCTGCAACAGTGACGACCAAATATGAAGTGGCGGCCGGCGAGTGGCGGCGATGGACGATCGACGACAGTCAGATCTTGAACACCAGATCTGAAATCGTTGATGGACGCCGGCGCTCACCATCAGTCCTTCACCGCTCGTCACCGTTGTGAAGCTGTCTGTTGCTCTCACCGCAAATCTCCATCAGCGTCCGTCTCAATGTTGAAGATGAAGAATGGAGAAGCCTGGTGCAGACAATTGATTGTTGCAGAGGAAGATTCATTGTTGTTGGGGAAGAAAGGCTTGTGCGGGTAGTTTATTGTGGCTGGGGAAGAACAGGAAGCCTAGGGCCGCATGATTAAAACAACTTGAGGGGTAAAATTGTAACAATAGTCCTATTTGGGGAATAAAATATATATACTCCCATTTAAGAAATTAGACAATAATTTATTCTTATTTAAGACAATAACTCTATAAATAATTAACAAGTATTGCCACAATTAGTACTCCCTTTGTCCCATTGAAAAGTTTTCGTAGATAAATGACACAATTTTTTAGACAAATGGTTAAATAAAGTAATTTAGATATAAAAAAAGATTGGAAAGAGAAAAATTTAGAAAAAGTAAATATATAAAGTGAAAGTAATTAAAGAGATATAAGTTGGAGGAAGAGAAATTGTTAGACTTGACATGTAATGAGCATGAAAGAGAAACATGAGTAAAGACGTAATTAAAGAGAGTAATTATTTCATAAAATGGAATAAGAACTTTTAAATGGACACTCAAATAAGAAAAGTAAGAACATTTTAATTGGGTAGAGGGAATATATAAACAACAATATAAACACAAAATTTTTTATACCTAAAAAATTGTGATTTCTCACACATCTTCTATGGTGCAATATGGTTGCACCGAAAAGACCTCAAATAAAAAGCAGTTAGTCTTTATGTGCAAGGTTGATCAGTCACAAGGATAATGTCCGCCATGACAATTTAAATCAACTTATTTCATACGAGCTACTTTTAATTGATGAAAACATAACAAAAAAACGCTTCTTAACTTTTGGCTTAAAAAAAGCTAAAATTAGTATTTTCAAGTGAGAGCTTATACTATGAATTGAATGCCAACTTTCCCATAACATATACTCCACTCCAAATGTAAGATACATTTTGATTTTATGCAACTTTAAAAACAAGGATAAAGTGGATGTTTTACATTTTTTTCAACTTGCAAAAAGTAAGAAAATGTAGTATGCATCCAAAATGAAGTGAAGGATGAAATGATAGATAAAGAACAACGGGAGAAATAAAAAGTCTATGATAATTTAAGAAAATTTTCATATTTTTTAGGGTGCACACAAAAAGTATAGTACGTGTGCCTTACAAAAAAGGATGAAGAGAGTAAAAAAAAACTCGGTGAAAACTAATATGGGCCATGGTTTTCAATTGTGGATCACAACATGTGTTGCAGTTGCAATATTGCGGTTCCATTCTGTGACGCAACCGCATCAGATTGTAATGGAGGTGAGATTTCAATTCACAAGGGGAAAATGAACTACCATGTAATAACCCAACGAAATTGCAGCATGGTCGCAACGGGCCATATCAGATCGTATCAAGACATCATCACTAATTATTTTAATATTTCGTTCGAACGTAAAATTAAATTACACTATATCGGCTGCAATAAGCATCACAATGGCCGCAATAGCCGCGGCAACATTGACTGCAATCACAATGCTATAGCAATAGAAAACCTTTATATAGACTAAAGAATAAATATATAATTTATGATGATAAATAATTTAATATGTAGTCATTTAACAAATACAATTTTATTACTACCTCCGTCCCATTTTATGTGTCTTAATTTGACTTGACACAATTATTAATGAAGAGATTGAAAAAGTAAAAGTGAAATGGTGTAGACCACATATTTTTTTCAAAAGGAAATGAGACACTTATTTTGGGACAACCCAAAAAGTAAAGTAGAACAGGTAAAATAGGACAAAGGGAGTACTTTTTATAATTAGATCATAGTAAAAATACACTATATTCAACTCTGGATCAATAATTAACTCAAAATATCTATTACTATTTTCATTAACCCATATCAAATTGAGGCGATCCAAGAGTGAGATACTATCATACTAGTTCAATAATTCCATATAAATCCTAAAAGCTGATCCCAACTCAAATGTTATGTGGCTGACTGCCTGACTGGCTGTGAGCTAAGAGCCTAAGAGCATGCGAGTTTTTTTTTGTTTTTTTATTAAATTTAAAACGCTAGAAGGAGGGCTTGAACCTCCGACCTTGTGGTTAACAGCCACACGCTCTAGCCAACTGAGCTATTCCAGCTAGTTGTAATTGTTTTACGGTAATTGCTATACTACTCAGTATCTAGCAACTAGAGTGTTCTCTACTTCTCTTTAATATATCTGCATAAAATAATTAAAAAATAATTTTAAGTTCATCCAAATAATACTGACTTTAAAATAAAACAATCTAAAATAATTTCTTTGGGAAGTTTATTATTTATTGCGTTATAATTAAAAAAAAGTGTTATATTTTATTAAAGACGCAAAATACTGTTTTAAAATGTTGCAATCAATTTAATAGTATGCTTTTTTAGTCATTTTTATATAAAATTTAACAATATATATATAGGAAATCATACTTATACATTAAAATTACTACTTTACAAAGGGAGTAATTTTTTTATCATCAGCTAGCCACTTGTATTAATTAATCAAATCATTTGTCAACTGGTTTACAAGAAAATCATGAACACTATTATACTCTCTCCTATAATCTGAGACTAAGACATGTGTTCTAGCCAAAGCGTGAGCTACATGATTCACGGATCGTTTACAAAAAGAGACATTGTAATTACTTTTTGTACTAATAACTTCCTTAATATCCTCCAAGAAACTGTGAGTGCATCCCCTTGCCGAATCCCTTGGACCACTGTGAGTGCATCCGTCTCAAATTTTGTTAAGACACGGGGTTCCATTCTAAAAGGTCAACCTGTTAGGAGGAGTAGCCCATGTGTCAATATAGCATTTGGTTTATCCAAACTTTTCCGGTGTGAGACATTTAACACTCCTCCTCACGACCAGACACTTCGCCTGGATCGTGTCATCATTCATTTTTTTCATCGGTCCGCTTTTTTTTCATCCGGCCGTTTTATAATCATGTCATCATTTTTCATAAGGGACCCCACACCATGGATCGATTTGGCTCTGATACCATGTTAAGACACGTGGTTCCTTCCTAAAAGGTCAACCTGTTAGGAGGAGTAGCTCATGTGTTAATATAGCATTTGGTTTATCCAAACTTTTCTGGTGTGGGACATTTAACAAATTTCACATCCTGCCAGCCTGCATTAATTGCTTCTTCAATAGCATCCCTCAAGCATGACGCTTCTGTTTCCGTCGGAGACCATCCCACTCTAACACTCCTCTCACAGTTATGAACTCCCCTTGATCGTTCCTAGCAACCCATCCCCACGCTCTAGTCTCTCCGGTCAGGTTCACCGCAGCATCAACGTTTAGTCGTTTACTTTGATTGATAGTCCCCATCCTCAGTTTACGTCATGTGCTACTTCTCTCCTCTTTCGATATGAGTTGATTAATTTTAACTAAATCTAGCTTACACATTTTGAAAGTCCTTGTCAAATGTCAATTACCACCATGTTCAGACTGATTAAAAGAGGCGCGATTGTTATATATATTCATAGAGAAATCATCTCATCAGGCCGGCCTGACGGGCTGCCCCGTCCGGCCGAGCCCGTTTGGGCACCTTCCCGGTGGAATGTTTGATGAAATTTTTTGAGCATGTTCCTCATCAAGTCTAGTTTGTCCATACCAAATTTCAGCTCAAAATTCGATCGGGAAGGTCGTCAAATGATTTTTGCAAGTTAACTGGTCCGGAATATGTATTTTCCGGACCAGTTAACTTGCAAAAATCATTTGACGACCTTCCCGGTCGAATTTTGAGCTGAAATTTGGTATGGACAAACTAGACTTGATGAGGAACATGCTTAAAAAATTTCATCAAAAAATTCCACCGGGAAGGTGTCCAAACGGGCTCGGCCGGACGGGGCAGCCCGTCAGGCCGGCCTGATGAGAATTGCTATATTCATATTCATATAGCAATCTTCTACATACTCTAAACTTAACATTTTACCAATTAACACTTTAGCAATCTATACACAATTAATATTTTGATTGAAGCTCATAGCGTTTTTCTACTAAAAAAACATACTCCCTCCGTCCCAATAAATTCTTCCAAGTCAAACTTGACTCGCAAATTAAGAAAGTGAGAATAAAGTGGAAATGTATGGTTGTTGTTGTGTAAGAAAAATGTGAATGAATATGAACCACACAATTTTTCCAAAAGTGGAAGTTGGAAGAATTTTTTGGGACGGCCCAAAAAGGAAAGTTGGAAGAATTTAGTGGGACGGAGGGAATATTATTCCATGATGTTTCGGTTTTCGGTTAATAGACTATAAAGTTTTTCTAAATTGTGATGGTACCGTGAACAACACATTTGACTTCTAACAATCGGTTAATCAAGAATCAAGTTCTCCGCTTCGCTATTTTGTCTAAGTTTCTGCGCCTCAGCTCCTTGAGGAAAATTACTGCCGCACGTCTCAAATCGGAGGCAGCGGCAAGTGGATTGCGGCATTCGGCTATTTTCAATAAACAGATTTTAAATTGATGCCAGAGTTGTTGTAAGGTTTCGAGAAAAAGTGGTCATCTCCCTACGATAGTTAGAGTTTCATTTTTCCGCTTTCATCATTGACGAAGAGCGGCCGTCGGTCGATATCGGTCGTGCAAGTAGGCTCGGGATCAGGGATGCATCACTTTGATGGTCAGGGCTCGACTTCTGCTGTTGTTTCTTGTCGAAGGTCAAGTATAGACAAAGAAAAGGCGGATAAGCTGTGACAGAGCTTGATTTCGATTCAGCAACAAGGGATATCAATGGAGGATTTCATCAATCAATACAAAAGCATGGCTATTGAGGCGGATGAGAGGTGGGCACGTCCCCCTCCCGAGCCGCCGCCACGGAGTGCAAGAGAGTCTAGGGTTTGGAAGAAGATGAGTGAACTCTGTTTTAATTCTGTTTTATTTTGTTTGTGTTTATCTTTCGAATTGCAAGTTGTTTTGGATGTGTTCTTATTTCCTAGCAATAAGATTCTAGAATTTAAGTTAGCTGATGAGAAGTCTGGTTTGTCAGTCATTGGCTCAGTTAAGCCCATTACAGGATCAACAAATCTTATTGTTTCTTTAGAGGTGATAGATTCTA